AACATTAGATAAAATTTTGTATGTACCGGAAATTTTACTCTCGAGACCAATAATCCGGCACAAGTCAAGAGCTTGCCGGTACTTAGCGCTCGAGACAACGTAATCAATTAGCTCATCCTTATCATACCCATCATCATCTAATAGTTTGTAAGTAGCCAAAAGCTGCAAATAACCCAACCTCCCCAAACCCCCATCCTCCTCCTTTTCCTCCTCATCTCCATCACCACCATTAACAGCACTATTCACAGCACCCATTTTAGCCTTCCACTCCGCCGCAACTGCCTTGGCACGGGCCCTAACCTCTGGGGGGATCTCCAACCCAGCCCTCAACATCTCTTCCAGTAACACCGTACAAGTCGCCCTCAACCTAGACCAAGACCCATCCTTTTTGTCCAAAAAGCCCTCCAATGCATTCAGGATCAATGAAGCTGGGTCGGGCGCGTGCTTCAACGCATCCACCAGCTCGACCCTAATGGCGGCCCTTTCCTTGGGACGCTCAATTATGTATCTACATAGACCCAAGGCGTCCATGTTTTCGCAGAGAGACCTGAGCTCGGGCCGGGCGGGATCAAGTTCGGGTGAGAAAGGGACTTTTCGTCTTGCGGGTTTAGGTTTGCGAGTTTGGGAAGATTCGGGGGCTTGAAGGGTCGAGAATTTCTGGAGGAGTTCGGACTGGAGAGACGTAAAATAGGAATCGATATCGGGCCATGTGAGATTGAATGAGGAGAGCATAGAGGCATGCGACTGCAATTCTTCAAATGCCTTTTTCAAATTTTCTTTCTTCGTCTCCACGAGGTTGAGGGCATTCTCGATTGATTTTACAGACTTCAAAGCCATTAATTCTTTGAATAATGAGATAAATCGATAGAGAAGAATTCAATTTGCGTAGCCGAATAACCCTAATTGGTCAGCACATATCAGAACACTATCCCGATGTGCGTAAATCAGATTGAAAATGAAAGAGCAGAAAAGCGATTATGGCGTTGTGCGTTCAGTGAAGAAGATAAATGACATATTACTGTCTATATATATCTAAAAAGGTTAGATGTAAAAATTCTTTGTTAGAAACCTAAAAATAATTGAGTTGACTTTTGACTTTCTATTTATGTATTCTCCTTTAATTAAACAAATGGATATTCTCCTTAATAATAGTGATATTTCCGTTAATTAAGCATGTGAAATTGATTGTCCGTTGTAAAAATCATGGACTTACTATTTATCCTAATACAATCCATAATTATCTTATCACTTTTGGTTAATAAAAAATATGTGAAATTGATTGCCCGTTGCAAAAATCATGGGACTTACTATCTATCTAAATACAATCTATAATTATCTTATCACTTTTGGTCAATAAAAAATTGTATAAAAGGATATTCACTACCACCATTACAACTCATCATTCATCATTCACGAGTTCAAAGAAAAAAAATACAGAATATACTTTTTTATCGCATATACAATATAATGCTTCCAGGCTGACTACACTTGATTCCGTTAACAAAAGAAACAAACCTTTTTTGAGCAGTCGGCATTATTGAAACCCATCACGAACGAACGGGAGAGCTGTAACGCATTTTCATGATGAACAGGTAATATTTACCTTTGTTATTTCAATTTTATATAATTTAAAAAATTATTTTAATTAATATTTATAAATTTGTATCGTAGAGTGCTTTCATTATATGCATAATACGTTATCCGAATATGAGAGCAACAAACTTTATATAAACTAAGAGATATGTAAACTTTAAACGTGTTTTTATATATAAAATTGTATATACTTTTAAACATGTTAGTTGGGCAAATTTTAAAGATATATATGTGTGTATGCTAACTTTAAGTATATATATTTTTCTTATAAAATAGTCTAGACAAAATTGAGGTAATTTCACATTTTTCAATAATAATATAAAATATTTTAATACTTTCACATATGTTATATAATAGTCTACGTATTCTTAATGTCTTTTGGTTGTAACATTGTTAACACATATAATATTAGATACTTTTAAACATATTTAGATAATTTTTTTACTCATTCTTTAATATCTATGTGCATAAAAAGAGAATAAGATTTATAAAAGATCTTCCGGCAATATACTAAATGTTAGATAAAAAATCTCATTTTATTTGTTATATAATATTTCGAGTTGCATTAATTTTGATTTGTATGTGTAAAATTGATAAATTAAGCGTATGAAAAGGAGCGTACGAATTACTGTAAGGATTTAAAAAATAAAAAATAAATCTAATTTTTGAATATTTTCTACTAACTTCTAAACGAATTTATGTCATAATTCGTCATAATTTTCCCACATCATGTCAATATTTATTTTATATATACTAGGTAAAAGGTAAATACAATCCATAATTATCTTATCACTTTTGGTTAATAAAACATATGTGAAATTGATTGTCCGTTGCAAAAATCATGGGACTTACTATCTATCCAAATACAATCCATAATTATCTTATCACTTTTGGTTAATAAAAAATTGTATAAAAGGATATTCATTACCACCATTACAACTCATCATTTCAGACAAAAAAAAAAAATACAGAGAATAATTTTTCATCGCATATACAATATAATATATAATGCTTCCAGGCTGGGGTACAATTCCGTTAACAAAAGAAATAAACCTTTTTTGCGTCTGAGAGCAGTCCGCATTATTGAAACCCATCACGAACGAGAGAGTTGTAACGCATTTTCATGATGAACAGGTAATATTTACCTTTGTTATTTCAATTTTATATAATTTAGAAAATTATTTTAATTAATATTTATAAATTTGTATCGTAGGGTGCTTGCATAATACGTTATCCGAATATGAGAGCAACAAACTTTATATAAACTGAGAGCAGTCTAATTTTTGTAAAATAGGTAAACTGTAAACGTGTTTTTATATATAAAATTGAATATACTTTTAAACATGTTAGTTGGACAAATTTTAAGGATATATATGTGTGTGTATGCTAACTTTAAGTATATATATTTTTCTTATAAAATAGTCTAGACAAAATTGAGGTAATTTCACATTTTTCAATAATAATATAAAATATTTTAATACTTTCACATATGTTATATAATAGTCTACGTACTTTTAATGTCTTTTGGTTGTAACATTGTTAACACATATAATATTAGATACTTTTAAACATATTTAGACAATTTTTTTACTCATTCTTTAATATCTATGTGCATAAAAAGAGAATAAGATTTATAAAAGATTTTCCGGCAATATACTAAATGTTAGATAAAAAATCTCATTTTATTTGTTATATAATATTTCGAGTTGCATTAATTTTGATTTGTATGTGTAAAATTGATAAATTAAGCGTATGAAAAGGAGCGTACGAATTACTGTAAGGATTTAAAAAATAAAAAATAAATCTAATTTTTGAATATTTTCTACTAACTTCTAAACGAATTTATGTCATAATTCGTCATAATTTTCCCACATCATGTCAATATTTATTTTATATATGCTAGGTAAAAGGTAAATCATTATCTCAATATTTATTCTATATATTCTAAGTAAATCTTCTCATCTATCTCAACGGTCCGCAGGTAGTATTTCATACTTTTCTATTCATAATCAAATATATCAAAGCTTCACAAGTTTTAGTTCACAAAGAAAGTGTTCAATAATTTATATTTTTTTTCCTTCTTTGCAATCCATTTATTTTTGTTACATATATATAAATTATATTATTTTTAATATTTCACACGTTAAACATTTCAGGAAAATATACCATCCCGTGCATCGCACGGGCTACGCGCTAGTATTAGTGATATTTGGGCCTTTTTTTTTCTGAAAAATACTACATTACCAACTTAGTGTACAACTAGGTTGACAACACAAGTGAAAACATCCACTTGTGTATTTTTTTATTTTTATTTTTTTGAATATTTTCACTTGTATTGTCAACTTAGTGTACAACTAGGTTGACAATATAGCATTACTCTTTTTTTCTTTATTTTCTCGGCGTCAAAGAACCACAAACTTCTATTCACTGATATAATATGGACAATAATGCTAAGGAGCCAACTGTTGTCTCCGTTATGGAGCCAACAGTCAATAGGACAGCTCCATGTGGGGCTGTCCCACATGACTCCATGTGGGGCTGTCCTACATGACTGCATGTGGGACAGCCCCACATGAAGCTGTCTCATTGGCTGTTGGCTCCATAACGGAGTCAACAATTGGCTCTTTAGCATTATTGATAATTTGGAATGCATTTTTTCGTTTTTTTTTTCCCTTTCTGAGTTTAGGACACAATTGACAATGCATTTTTTCCTTTTTTTTTTCCCCTTTCTGAGTTTAGGACACAATTGACCATTAAACATTGACACTCTTTCACATCGGTCATAATTTGTTTTCTTATGTGGTCCATCATGGATATAATAGGCATAAATCGTGTGGGTTTTACCTATTATTCCAACATTCAGCTTGATTATTATTGATGATCTCTCATCTGTCTTCAATAAAATTGATAATTCGCTCAACATTCTGAGTTAGAATCCATAATGAAGTCTCTAGTAAGAGGCATAGCCGTCAATATATTATTTATATGCATATCAAATTTTTGCCTTCTAGGAGCATACGCAACTTTCATGAAAACTGAGGATCAATGTTTCTTATTATGAAATGGATAGCTCTTTAAAACTTACAAAAAAAATAAAAATAAAAAATAAGATGGTTGCCACCGGATGCCACCAGGATAAACATGAATAATTATTATAAATATTAATTATGAATTTAAGATAAATATAAACAGACTTTCTCACCAGCTTCTTAAAGTTATCGACTAAGTATCTCAAATCAGTGTTTTAAATACCGTACCGGTAAGCATACCGGACGAGCCAACGGTACGCGGTTCAACCGGTATTACCATCTATTTTACCGGTTTCAATAAATATTAAATTAATTTATTATTATAATATAAATGATGTACAAAACTAACTTTAACTAATACTAAAATTAATTAACATCTAATAACAATGTAAACATATTAAAATTATTTTTTATAAAAATTTAAAAAATATTTTTTTAAAAATATTTGGCATAAACCGGTATTTTGGCCGGTATTTGCCGGTAAAACCGGTATTTTCCAGTATGAAATCGGTATAAACCGGTATTTTGGCCAAAACGGTATTTAGAGTGTAACCGTACCGGTCGGACAACCGGTATCCGGTATTACCGGTAATACCGGCCGGTACGGTACGGTATTTAAAACATTGTCTCAAACAATAAGTATGATGACTACCGGAAAAAACCATATGAATAGATTTAAGTAGCCCACTATGTCGGTTCGTAAAAGATGTGAACCTGAAAAAACTAGTAAGCCCGAGGAATGAAAAATATTATTCAACTTCAAGAAAAACCACTCTCAATTATCATCGATCTCAGCATCAACCACGACAAATGTTATAGTGAACAAATCATCATTGACATCCTTACTCACAGTACTAAGCAAATAGCATTTATATTTATTTTTTATGTGAGAGCCGTCCAAAAATATCAAGGGTCGACAGCAGGTTAAAAACCTAACAAGGCAGGCATGAAAACAAATGAACATTCGGAGAAACTTATTCTCGATAGAGCCAATCTCACAATCACACATGCATGACAATTTCCTTCCCCAACTATGCCTTTTTGTACTGCAACTCCAAGCCATAGGGACTGTGAAGGTCTTTTAATATCGTGCAAGACTTTTAACATGGTTCATCTCTCAATTTGTCCTTAATTAACAATCGAATAGTTTTTAACACGCTTTTGAAATTCATTTGCGCATTGAAAATCTGTTCCTCTCATTTGATGCAATGTCTTCAAGAATCAATCAAATTATCTTGCAATAAGAACTTAGATTCTTCCTCTGAGAAATCATTATGCGGTACAATTTCCCTGCGTTTATGACAAAATAATACAAAGATTTATAAATAATGGAACTAGTTAAAAAATAATAATGAACTAGGATA